GAACTGGATCCTCTCTCCAATCTTAGTTTCCTGTTTCTAAAATGGGTGGAGGGAGAGGGTCTCCGAAGGGGAAATATGGACATTTGTGTGTGCGTGTGTGTGCGTGTGTGTGTGTGTGCACCTCATGTGTCTCCTAGAAGCAGCCCTGGGGGTAAATGTGAAAGGTAATTAGCACCAGGATGAAAGGTGCTGTGGGATAATTACAGGTAACATATCAGGACTGCTGGGAAGGTGGGGCAGGAGGCCCCTAGACCTCTGGGGGGTGTGGGTAGCCTCTAGCCCCACTCCTGCACTGAGATCAGACACCTGGAGAGGCGAGGGGGGACGGAGAGGGAGCATTCTGAGTGAAGGGTCTTTGTCGTTACAGGGAAATGCTTGTTAGTTGCTAAGGAACTGAGTTATCTCTCCTGATCCAAGCCACCCAATGTTTTGCCAAGCTTGGGAGTGGGATACTGGGCTGGGGCTTGGTCCTTTCACGGGTCTCTTGGGAAGGACTGTCATCTGGGGAGAGTGACTCTCCAATTACTAAGCTGGGGAGCAGAACAGGTGCGGTGGAGGCAGGCAAGGAGAGGAAAACCTGCATTTACGAGCAGCCTGCATGCTAGGCGATGCGCCTGGGTGCCACCCGTGTTATCTCATTTAACCATTGCAACAGATCGTTAAGGAAGGCACTTCCACTTTTAAAAATTTTACTATTTTTTGCAGTTGAAACACAGATCCAAACAGCCAAGTTTCCTGAGGTTACAGGACTATCAAGTAGCAGAGATTCTATGTGAATTCAGGTATACCAGGTAATAAAACTTGTGCTTTTTATTTTTTGTATTAAGGTGTTCCTGGAATCCTATTTTATTTTATATTTTTAAAAAATATGTTTTTAAAAATTTGGTTCTAGAGAGAGAGGAAAGGAGAAAGATAGATAGAAATATCAGTGAGAGAGAAAATCATCAATTGGCTGCTTCCTGCATGCCCACTCTCCCCCCCAACGGGGATCAAGCCCAAAACCCTGGCATGTGCCCTGACCGGGAATCAAACCAGTGACCTCTTGGTTCATGGGTCGATGCTCAACCACTGACCACTACTGGCTGGACAAAAAGTTGTGCTTTTAAAACTACACCACCTAATGCATTTACCAGGCTTTCTTCCTACGCCAGGGCTGCTCAGCCCTGATACCGGCACCCACCACTGCCATCACCACCACCATCATCATCATCACCACCATCACTGCCACCATCAGGAAGTTTTCCTATATGGTTCCCCCTCCTTCCTCACCCCTCTTCCTTTCCTAAGAACAGTTATCACACAGGAGGGAGAGGTTAGTTCTGTGGGTTGAGGATGGTAAACTGTTGGGCAGTTGCCTTGGGCAGGTGGGGTGGGAGGATGATAATGACCTTGAGCTTGGCCAGGCCATTGCTGTGAGTGTCCAGGAGCTGGGCCTCCCCACAAGTCACACTTGGTTGAGAATAGCTTCAACTTGGGGGGAGGGAAGATGCTTGGGGGGAATCGCCCCTTAAATTCTTCTGGAACTTCCAGTCTTCCCTCTCGGCCGAACTGGCTTCTGAATGAATGAAGGTCTGCTTTATTTTATGTAGCCCAGAGAGTAAAATTCCAGTCCTCTGGGCCTCTGAGCACTGAGTGAGAAGGCTTGAGTTAACCTCAGATTTCCTCATCACTAGTTACAGAGCAGGGAGAAGGTGCCTTAACTTACCAGAATGTCAGTTTCCTCATCTAGAAAAGGAGAGTAGCAATACCTACATTATTAGGTGCCGTGACAATCGAATGAGAGAATGTGTATGAAGGCCCATGGGCTGTGAAGTTGTGCAGGAATGCATTAAATGGGGTGCCACATGTTGGGCATTTGGCACAGTTCCTGGTATGCAGAAGATGCCCAACAAATGGTATCTGATGATGATGGTGACAAAAGTATCAGATCAGGGGTCACTAATGTCCCTTATGAATTTTCGTAGCTGCGTCATTAGAGATCTCTGAGCAATCTCCATGTTCATTTTGTTTCTGATTGGAGGAGGCAGTGAAAAGGGACAGGGGCCCCAAAGTGTTGTGCAGGCAGAGAGCTGAGTCAAGGGTGGGTTTCCCCGAGGTCTCTTGGCTCCAGGTTTTCTCTCCCTGCCACTGAGTGAGAAGGTTTCCCGGACTGTCTGCTAGGCTGTCTTTAGCCTATAGTCTGGGCCATCTTTGTTCTTTTACAGAGGATCTCTCCTATAGCTGAACTAAAAGCCCAAAAACACCAGGGGAAAAGAAGGGATGGGGAGGGGAGGGGGGAGGAAGGAAAGCAAGCCGATAATTTCCTCGAAGGATAAACATCCGATTTTTTTTTCCTCACCCAAAATAAACATGCTAGCCGCAAAGAATTAAAAGCAGAAGAGGGGAGGATGTGTCTCGATCTGGGGCTGCTCTAGGAAGCCGACCTGCTATTTATCCCAGCCTTGGGCCCCAACAGGAGCTGCCAATTACACTCTGGGCCTGTGGGGTGGGGGCTGCGGGGAGTGTGAGGTTCATATACACCCAGAAAGTCCCTTCTGAGGCTGCCTTCCATGACACTGCAAATGGACACTTCCTTTTGCTTCTGCTTTTAGCTTTGCTGACAAGCTTGTCTGGTGGGTAGAAGGGAGTAGGGAGTTTCTACTGCCTGGGCTGGCATCAATGGATCTTCTCCAGAATAAGAACTTGGTGTCCACCACCTAGGCAGGGCGTTGAATTTATCAATGAAGGGGGAAACATGTCCACTTCCCTCCCAATTCACACATGCAGTCTCCCAGCCCATTGTGCTCTTCAGATCTCACCATGAAAATCTTCCAGCGACTTAGGAGTGTGCTTAGCCTGGCTGAGGGGTGGCCAAGGCGCCTCTGCCTTCCTGATAATGTGGGCCCTGGATCTAAGAGGGTAATAACGGGGTGCCCGGCTGCAGCCTGCCCCTTTCATCTGGGGAGCTCAAGGCACTGTGCACACCTGAGTCATAGCATTGCATATTTTAGCCAAGGAGTGTGTGTGTGTGTGTTTGTGTGTGTGTGTATGGGGGGTTGGGGGAGGGCGTTAACTCTTGGAGGGAAACTGAGCAGAGATTGAGGGGCTGAGAGGACTGGAGTTGGGAGTGGGGTAGTTGAGGTACCAGGGTTTAGGGTATGAATGAGACCATAGCTCAGAGGTGCTTCCAAGGGGTCCTTGGTGGGGAAGCCAAGAGACATTCAGGGGATGTCCAAGGCGGATAGTCACTGAAAATCCTTTCTTTGCAGAAACTAAGGAGTTTCTTTATACTTTCTAAAAGCATATATTAGATTATGCCCCCTCTTGCCCTCTAATCTATTTATCATTTCACTAGGGGCCCGGTGCACGAAATTCCTGCACAGGTGCAGTCCCTAGGCCTGGCTGGTGATTGAAGTGTGAGCGTCTGGCATGGAAGGGCAGGTCCCAGCTGACCTCTGGGCCCTGGGCAGCACCTGGGCCCTTTGGCCTCGGAGCCCCTGCACACCCCCCTCTGCCTGAGTCATAGCACCTGAGTCCCCACATGGGCAGCGTGCTCTCTCCCAGTGGCCTCGCAGACTGGCTCCTGCATGAACCCACAGGGAGCCCAACCGGCCCCTGTGGTCCAGCAGCTGCCACCTGGTTCACCCAGAAGATGCTGCGCAGGTACAGGGCAGACTCCTGGTAGGTGCTTGGCACCAGGGGGAGGGGGGCTGCCCTGGTTCCCTGGCTCGTGCGAGCCCTGGTGTCCCGGGGGAGGGTAGCAGGGAAAGTGAGAGTGAGCTCAGAGGACACCCTATATTCTCACTGCACCTCCATCCTCATCACCTCCGCCCCCAGGTAGCCAGCGAGAGATCGCAGCCCCACGTCATAGCGAGCGGTCAAACTCCCGGACTCCCAGTCTTCTGGTCGAACTCCTAGTCGAACAACCACTGAGGGGACAATTTGCATACTAGGCTTTTATTTTTTAATATATTTTATTGATTTTTTATAGAGAGGAAGGGAGAGAGATAGAGAGTCAGAAACATCGATCAGCTGCCTCCTGCACATCTCCCACTGGGGATGTGCCCGCAACCCAGGTACATGCCCTTGACCGGAATCGAACCTGGGACCTTTCAGTCCGCAAGCCGACGCTCTATCCACTGAGTCAAACCGGTTTCGGCATACGAGGCTTTTATTATATAGGATGATTTCCTCTTGCTTTCAGGGTAAAATCCAAAACTTTATCATGGTTGTAAGGCCTGGCATGTTCTGGTCATTGCCCACCTGTCCCAGTGGCCACACCACTGGCCTTCATTTCCTGGAAGATGCCACGCATGCCCCTGCTCGCCATGGGAGCCCAGAGGTGTTCCCTCTCTTTGCCATGCTCGCCACCCCTGTGCCTACTCATAGTGAATTCCTACCCTGCTTTTCAGCCATGAAGTCAAATATCACTTCTTCTGAGAGGCCTTGCCCGGCCCTCCCCCTCCATCATAAAGCAAGTCCCCTTTGCACCCTCAGAGCATTTGTCACATTTGCTATAATTTGCCTGTGGTCATCTGATGCAACTTCCTCTCCCCTACTGGATGGTAAGCCCTTGTTTTGTCTGCCATGTTCACACTTGGATCCCCAGCACCTACCAGAAGGTCAGGCATGTAGTAGGTGCTGACAGTAGTTGTTGAATGAATGGTGTTGAATGTTGGAGCTGGAAAGGACCCTGGAGATAAACCAGCTGCCTCTCCCTCCTCTTCCTACCTAAACTTTACCAAGGAAGCAACACTTTAGAGAGGGTGAGTGATTTTCTCCAGGTCACACAGTGCGACTCATGAAGGTTCAGGGCTGGAGATCTCCACCTCCTGCCTGTCCAGCTATCCCTGCCACAGTCCCCTCCGCACTTGCATTTATAAGCCTCAGTGCTGGACACCGATTGAGTTCCTGTCCTGGGTGTTTGAAGGAGGACAGGCTAGAAAACAAAACATCCAACCAGTGATCCCTGGACAATTCCTTTTTTAATTTGGAAGAGCAGGGGTTTCATACCCAGCGGGGATTCCACATCCAGACTATAGGTGGTGGGCAATGTGGACACACATCGGTAAGGCGAGGCCTGAGGTCTTGAGTTGGTCTTTGGGCTTACTGCTTCCTCGTACGGGAACATCGGCATCTGGCGAGTCCTTGTAATTTTCGGTCATGAACTGGGTGCTTGCTTCAGGTGTAATCAACTGGAAGCGACTCAGAAATTTATCCATTTCCCAAAAGCCTGGAAGGACAAACAGACCACAGGGAGGCAATGAGAGGGAACCATGGACTTGAGAGCTGGCAGGGGTGAGAGGGAGGCCAGTTCTGGGGGAGTGGAGACAGCAGGAGATGCCTTTGGCCATTGGTCTGAGTACCTGGGGTGCCCCTGGCTCCAACTGCAGGACACCCCTGGATGTTAGCAGAGCATCTAGGAAGGGGCTGCTCCCCAGAAAGCACTGGGGGCATGAATCTGGACTGAGTCAAGAGCAGCCTTTAGCCTCATCCCCAGAACCCTTTATTTAGCATAATTCTGCTGCCTCGGTCACATGCTGAAAGGAAACACCCAATCAGGTTGTCAGCACACTTCCCCACCCACCCTCCTTTCCTGCAGGCCTTCTTGACCTCATGACTGAAACCTTAAAGCTTCTTTCCTTCATAGCTGGTCACCCCAGCTGCTGGGGTTGAGATTGGCAGAAGTGCTCGTGCCATTCATTTAATCTCCTCCCCAGAACCCCAACCACTGTCTCAGAGACTGTGCAGCGGGGTTTCTTTCCTGGCTGTGGCAGAGGTCAAGGGCGGGGGATATGGCCAGGGCCCCTTCTCTCTGCTCCTGAGCACCTGGATCCTGGAGGGGAGCTGTGTGTGGGTGAGGTGTACCCAGGCTGGAGCCTGGAGAAGCCCAGGCTGTGCTCAGGTCTGAGGGGCCCTCTCAAGGGGAGAAAGCACAGGGGCATCGAGGGAGGTGGATCTTCTGGGGCAAGTGTGAACAGGCCCAGTAACAGGGCAGGGAGGACACAGCCCTGGGCACTGGGGAGAGGCTGAGGGAAGTGGTCAGAGGCATATTCCCACGCTCTTGTTTCCCAAACTTTGGGCCTCAGGCACCCTTGGCAGCTGGTTGCCAGAGAAAATACGGGACACTCAGTTCAATTGGCATTTCAGGCAAACAACAAATAATTTGTTAGTGTATGTTTCACATATTGCATGGAGCATCTTTATAGTAAAAAATTATTCCTCGTTCATCTAAAATTCAAAATGAACTGGGCTTTCTGTATTTCCTTCTCTCTCTCTTCCTCTCTTTTAATCCTCACCCAAGGATATGTTTTTATTGATGAGAGAGAGAGAGAGAGAGAGAGAGAGAGAGAGAGAGAGAGAGACTTTGATTGGTTGCCTCCCGTATTCAATCCCTGACCAGGGATTAAACCTACAACCTAGGTATGTGCCATGACCAGAAATCGAACAACCTTTTGGTGTGTGGGACGACTCTCCAACTGAGCCATCGGGCCAGGGCTTTCTTTTCTCTCTCTCTCTTTTTTTTTTTTTTTGCTAAATTCAGTAACCTTCCCTGGGCGGAGGGAGTGCTCCGGGAAGACCTTGTCCAGAGCAGAGCTAGGCAGTGGCGGGTATAAGGCAGCGTCGGGTATGACCTGGATCAATGGAGGACAGTAATGCACAGAGAGAACAGGGTGAGCAGCTGGCATCCTGGAATGACTCAATGACTCTCAGAGTTGCCCATTTACCACCAGTGGCTCTCTGTCTGCACCCACCTCCTGCTAGTGTTCCATACTCCATCTACCTTCCCGCCCTGCAGGGGCTGTTTGCATTTCAAAGATGTTCTCAAGGGGAGGACATTTTTCATTCAAAGAAACAAAATAAAAAAAATAATAATGATAATGCCAAAAAATAATAGTAAAACACTAATATAGTATTTTCTTTTAAAAAATGTTTTTATTAATTTGAGAGAGAGAGGAACATCGATTGGTTGCCTCCCAGATGCACCCTGACCAGGGATCAAACCCATGGGAATGTGCCCTGACTGGGAATCAAACCGGAGCCCTTTCGGACGACACTCAACCAACTGAACCACACTGGCCAGGGCCGATAGAGTGCTTTCCATGTGCCGGGCACAGTTCTAGGGACTCCATGCACATTCATTCAATTAATCCTCACAAGGGAGACTATTTTTAATCCCTAGTGCATAGCTGGAGTTCTGGTGAGGTTGCTTCTTAGTTGTAAAGGGGAAAAGGCCTCTTTAGGTTCACCCAAATTTTATTGGGCTCAGTGACTGTGTGTTCAGATTGGGCTGGAAAGCAGCGGTTTCAGGAGTTCTCTTGGGGCAAGGGTGGCCGGGCCCTGGAGAGAGCCATTCCTATCAGATGGGCTGCCACTGGGCTGAGAGGTGTGTAACTGACCCTGTGAGTCTTCCACTAGGAGGCCTGGCCAGGCCTTCACATGCAGGGAGCCTGGCTGGCTGGAAAAATATTGTGGTTCAAGACCCTGGGAAAGTGTGTGCATGTGTGTGCATGTGTGGATGCATATGTGTGTGTATGTTCACGCCAGGTGAAGGGCTTTGGGTGAACTGGTGTGTGGCAGGCATGGGGACAAGCGGGCCTTCCCCACTGAGCAGGGCAGGAAGGAACCGGGGTGGCAAGGAGGGAATTGAAACTCATCACGAGATCAGGGCAATGGCAGAAAGAAATCCCCTGTGCCCTGAGGGAGACCTGGCTTCCCGCTCCAGCAGTGCGCCCTCCCCTAGCTCGGATGGCTTCCTTGATGGAGTTTGGAGCACCTTGGCAGCCTCGCAGCTCCTTCCTTGTCCCACTTCCAACAACCCTGTGGTCTTGGGCTTCGTGGGCAGCTCCTCAGACCTGCCCTCTGTCCCTCAGGAGGCTGCTGGCCTCCCGCTGCCTCCTCCCCTGGCTTGGCGGTGACTCCTTACACCCCCATTTCCTGCCACAAAGGGCAAGAGGAACTGACCCAGTGCAAGTTGTAGAAGGCATGGGGGTGAGTCAGGCCCTCAGGGGTGTGTGGGGAGAGACTGGGAGCTTGCAGGCTGTGGCTTCCATGTCACCGCATGGAGGAAAGCCCCATCCTGTATGGCACTGCTGGGCCCGGGCTGCAGGGGCCACTGCCATGCAGGAAGAGCGCTGCTGCTGTCTGAGGTCTGACCACTGCCCGTGTGCCCTGGACCCACCCAGGATGGGCTCTTCCAGGGACGGGGCATGGGTGGGGAGTGCACTTCCGAGGCCTTCGGCTACAGGGAGAAAGAGCCAGGGTGTCTGATGCCTGTCTCCTGAGCCACCCAGGGACTGGAACACAGAGGTCTGGTCTCCATAGGGTGGGGCTGCCACATATGATGAGCAGGTGGGTCTCTACACAACCTTAGGGAGCATTGTTTCCATCTTGCAAAATCAGACTCAAGCATCGTCTCACCTACTGGTTTTAGAGAGAGAGGAACATTTATCCAGGCCCATTCCGGCCCTTGTTGAGTTGCTAAGACAGTTAGCACTGGACTAATAAGCTAGACCTTCAAAGGGTGGCCTCGGCCAGCAGCTCAAAGTGCCCCACCCCCCACCAATTCCAGCTGATGAGGTCCCACCCCTAGCAGCACCCCCAGAGTCTCTCCAGCAGGCCCACTCTTAAGACTTCCTAACAGGATAGGAAAAAGTGTTCCCTGACTGTCCTTGCTCTAGCCAAGGGACATTCCCCACCTGACCTGTCATTTGGTCCTTAGTAGGCCATCAGGTGTCCCCCTCTCAGCCTGGGAAGTGGGGGTTGGGAAGCCCTCACTGGGAGGCAGGCCCCCATTCAGGCTGTAGAACAGGGGGCAGGGCACTGAGCCTTGGGGTCACCTCCCCTGAACCACCATGTGAGCTGCCCGAGCCTCTCCTGGGCCCTGGGGTGCCTGGCTCAGAGCCGCCCCGTCACCGCAGGTGGGTGAGCTGTGTCTGACCAAGGTGTCCACTCTCCTCCCCGGCCTGCCCTTATTCTCCCGCTGGGCAAGGGCGCCACTGCTTCTTGTCAGGGGAAAACACAAAACCTGACGGCCAGCCTAGTCACCGCCACCCTGAGCGCAGATTCGCCCGCAATTTGTCTGGCTCTCCGCGGGGCTGGCTGCGGTGATAGGAGCGCTGATCCTTTCTGCTGAGATTAATGATGTCCTGGCGGTGGTGGGCGGGAGGCCTGAGCCTTTTATTTTTGCGCCTTTAAATGACATCCAGAGACTTCCCCTCAGGAGCTGAAAAGCCATGTTCCATCGCATCCAATTACTCCTGGTGAGTATTTGCTGAGTGCTGATCCTGCGGGCTCGAGAGGCTCAGGGCAGGGGGGACCACTTTGACTTTGGAGGGAGTGAGAGGGTGGGATGCCGGGGGAGTTCCTGAGTGGGGAGGGGTGACCCCGGCTCCTCTGGAGAACTGCAGTTCTTAATGACCAGTAAGTGGATCACCCTCCTCTCTGGTCCCTGTGGCTGGTGGCGGCGAGGCCGGGAGTGAGAGGAGGTTTGCAGCTGTCAGCTTTGCTCCCAGTGATCAATTCCAGTATTTGGTGGTAGTGTTCAGCTGGAATTCGGGGCAAAATGTGGCGATGCTCTGTGGTTTCCCTGCGGACGATGTGTTCAGTATTGCTTTGGACGGTTGATGTCTGACTCGACTGCGGCCTGCGTCTTGACGAGGGCTGCATGGGCCCTGTGGAGCGTGCAGGGTTCCCAGCCAGTGGGCCTGCCCGAGAGCTGCCCAGGATGGCTCCATCTGAGTTGCTGCCAGGTCCCCAGTCATACCAGCTCTGCCAGGTGGGCGGGGCTCTTTGGAGCAGAAGAGGGCTGCCTGACACAAGCCCACACGGTGACTCAGGGGCTGGCCCTGGGGGGTTCTGGGGCCTGGCCAGGTGAACCACCATGGGAGGTCATGGCGGGGAGTGGGGGCTGTTTTGCAGTGGGCCGTGTGCTTGTGTCTGTCTGTGTGTGTGTTTGGGGCTGGTCTCCGGGCAGGCCCCCTTCCCTCCACCTTTGCCTGCACTGGCTGCTCTTCCCTCACTGTGCCGGCCTCTGTCCCTCCACACCAGGCCACCTCCTGTGAGCTGCTTGGAGCTCTGCTGCCTTCATGCCCTCAGTCTGTGCTGTCAAACATTTCCACGTAGCATCCCTCGTCTGAATCGCCCACGGCGTCCCAGTGGCCTTTAGGTGCCACAAGCAAGGCTTAAACCCCGCTGAGAGGCAAGTCTCTGCTGCCCCTCCTCTTTGACCCTGTGGGTTGGGGGGCTCCCCTGAGCTGCTTATTTCAACCGCCAAAGGTGCTGGAGAGCAGATTATGGCTGCCTAGTCCAGAACCCAGACCCCTTCTCTGCCCCTCGAACCCCATTTTACCTGGAGCAGTCTCTCTGCAGGCCCCGAGGCTGCCCCTGGGAGGTGGGGACCGGAGCCTGGCATGGCCCCTTAGCTCCCCTGGTGCGGACACACCGTCCTGGGCTCATGGCCTTGTAGAGGCTTCCAGAGTGAGCTGAGCACGTCATCTTGAGGGACAGAGAGGGGATTTCCCTGGCTCACTCGCCAGAGGAGCGTGAGGCTGGCTCGTGACACCTCTGGGTGAGGTGTGGCATGGCGCAGACCACAGCTCCTCACAGCGCTCAGCCACAGGAAAGGGGCGTGTGGACCCACTGCCTTTGGTGGCCACTGCTGGCCAAGGATGCAGAGGGCAGGCAATTGGACTGGCTCCATGTCTGTCCCCACGCCAGGGCCCAGGAGTCTGGAGGTCCGGGTGGAAGGAGCGGGCATGTGGGTGTGCTGGTGACAGGTACAAAGAGCTTTGCTCTAAAAGGCAGAAGAAAATTAATCTGCTGTAAACTGAGGATCCCTGATCAACCAAGCCACTCACTGTTCTGGGCTTCAGTTTCCCGTGTTGGGACAGGGAGGATGTGGACACTGAAATTGTCCTTGGTGGGCCTGGTGCTCACAGAGGTGGCTGTCTTTCCAGGTGTTAAAGGAAGTTGACGGTGAGGTGTGCTGGGGAGCATGGGGGTGTGAGAATGGGCAGATCCGTGTGCTCCAGGCTTGTGAATGTGCTTACGTGGGTGTGTCCTACACACAAACACGCTCACTGAATGAAAGTCCACAGTGGGCTGAGCACAGGGACAGGTGGTAAAAGGGAAACATAGACAGGTGAGCTCTTCCCTCCAGGAATTTATAGTCTCGTGATGGAAGTGGGGCCCATACAAGTAAAAATGATTGAGCAACACAAGAGATAAAAGCTGGTGACTAAGGAAGTGCAACAGAATGTTATATGAGTGTCTCAGAGGAGTAGGAGCGGGCAGGGAGGGTCAGCTGAGAGGAGACAGGCCGAGATAATGCCATCTCCAAACTTGGGGAGGTGACCTGTGGCCTTTGGAGCACATGTCAGTGACACTGGGTTGCTCTTGTCAGAGGCACCTATTCGGGCTCCGTGAGCTTCAGCGCTCTCCTCTATTGGGAATGTAGTCGAGCCTGAGCTACGTGAATATCCCCTCCTCTCTCTGCGAGCTTCCCCGGGTGACACACACATCCATGTGGCTCACTTCTGTGCCCACGGCTCCTACAATGGTGCCTCGAACATGCGGCTCCTAGCATTGTTGGGATGAATGTGGAGGCATTTTCGAATCAAGCAAAGCATGGTGGGGGAAACGACGCGCACAGGAAGGAGCTGTGTACAGGCAGGAGGCGGGAGGCGAGAAGGTAGGGTGTCATAAACCAGAAGCAAGATCATTCCGAATCCCCTTCCAGGGCCCTTGCTGTGGTCCCGGCAGCCCAGTCTCTGATGGAAGGCCTCCTTTGAGCAGTGTGTGGGATGGCTGGGTGAGTCAAGCCTGATCCCCGCTCCCTGCATCTGTCTAGCAGAACTTGGACAAGGGGAGAGTGTAGTAAGCTGGGAGCAAATCTGCTCAGGGTCACTCAGTGGTGACCAACTAGTCCAACCCCTTATGCTGATGATGTAGAAATTGAGGCCCAGGTGGCTTGTTCAAGGTCACACGGGAGTGTGGGTGTCAACATCTCCCATTTACTGACCCCATGTATGTTGTCCTGGAGTCGCAGAACAAAGAGGAATCCTGGAGAGGGTTTCAGCCTCTGGATCTGAGCAATGCCTCCCCCCCCACCCCCCACACAGCCATACAAGTTCAACTAGAGTAATCTCACACTCCCTTCTCTTCTAAACCTGCTATTCATACCTAAATCCCAGGGAGGGAGCGACCCAACAGGACTGGGTCAAGTTAACTGTCTTCTATGGAAGACAAGTTACCTGGCTCCTGCAGACAGACCTTTCCCCTCCAATGTCTAGAAGCTGTTCCCGCCTGCTCCTCCAGGGGACACAGTGACTGGTTACACCACTCATACCCCAGGACACACAGCTCCTTCCACAGATACGTTCCCAGACCAAGGCGAGCCCCAGGGCCCGTGCCCATTGGCAGGGCTTCATGCCCTGGCCTCTCCAGGTCTGTGCAGGTGCTTCAGAGAGCGCCAGGCCTGTGGAGTCCCCACGTCGTGCAAGGGCTGCTCCTGCTTTTGCAGTCACCTCTGGTCCATCCATACCCGACATCTGCATGCCCTGGAGCCTCCTGTTCTCTTCCTCTCGCCAGCTGTGTCCACCAGTCCAGCTTAGTCAGCTCTGGGGAGTGCTTTTGTGTGTTTCTTCTCCCCTGGGCATTATCTCGTGCTCTCCACGGTACCATCCAAGTCACACCCCTGCTTGGCTTTTGAGAACCTCCACAACCTTCCTCCATTTTCTCCTTTCCTCATCACCCTGGCCCCTCACAAAGGGTTCTTCTTATCACTTTTTTATTTTATTTTCACATCTTTGCATCTGCAGGTTTCCCAGCCCAGAGCTCCCTCCCCTCTCTCCTTCACTCAGGGATTCAAATCTTCTTCTTTTCCAGTGTCCAGCCCAGGCCCCATCTGATCCTCAGAGCCTCAAGGCCACTAACCCTCATTTTCTAGATGAGGAAACTGAGGCTCAGAGAGGTTAGTTGACTTGCTCAAAAGTCAAATCACTCGCTGAGACTGGAATCCAGATTTCCTCCCCCGCGGTGAGAGACTTCTGCACCCTTCCTGGCTGAAGAGGACATGTGTCCTGGAGGGAAGGGATCCTAGGAAGGGACAGGCCAATCCCTAAGTCGACACCAACCGCCACACACACACAATTAACTGCTTAATTGTAGGCTGCTCTACATTGTTATGTGTTTCCAAAGTTGATTGTCAGCCCTTTTGGGCAGGGAACGTTTGCAGTGCCATCTTGTCCTCTCCAGGCCTCCAGCACAGCGCTGGACCGGGGAAGGCATCACACTTCGGGGCTTTATTTGGGAGGATAATCTTCCCGCCTCCATATCTGGCAGCAAACGAAACAGCAGGGAAGCCAAAGGTACGCTGCCCTGATGCAAGTCCAGTTCTAAGTGCTCATGTAGATGAAAGGTGGGTGGCGGCAAGGTGCACAAGAAACCCTGGTTTGGGCAAAGATCCAAAAGGACTAATCAGGCCTGATAGGTTCCCAGCATCCTTGCCTGCTTCCTTTCAGAGGAAGGGCACACGGGCTGCGTGCATTCTGGAGGGTGGGCTGGGATCAAACCTCAGGACCCAGGCATGGCAGGGGTGGGAGAGTGTTTGGCACACACCCTTCCTCCTTTGCCCTCTTCACTGCTCCTCCTGGCATTGCCTAATGCTCTCTCCTGCCCCCTCTGTCCTGCCCGCAGAAAGCACTTGATCCAAGGGAGGCTCCTTCAGGGGACTGTCTGAGCCTCATCTGGCCCAGGGCACCACACTGGGACCCTGAGGGCTAATGTAGGCCTCATAGGCACTGCCTTCCTTCATGAGACTCCCTTGTGTGGGGGAGCAAGGTGGGCTCAGGTGCTAATTCCCAGCCCCAGAAATCAGGTGGAAGGGACTTCATGGCGTCTTAGGTGAGACAGGGGTCCAGGAACATGGAGAAATTGAGCTTGGCCTGGGAAAGATGCGTTTCTTTCTTTGTATCCAAACTTCAAAGCGTGCCTTTGGGAAAGCTCTTGAAACAGATCTACAGATCAGCGAGGTGCTGAGGGCACCTGAGGAGGGTTCACCAGTGGAAAGGTTGCACCAGCTCGGCTTCCAGGGTGGCTGGAGCCTTCTGTGATTGGTGGCCTCCGCTTAGCACATCTCAGCGAAGGGCTCCATCGCTCCATCAGGGCCTTTCTGGGCTCGTCTCCTCTCCTCTGGGGCCTCGGGCAGCAGGTTTGTAACAATGTCGTGCTGGCTTCCCAGTGGGTGGAGGTTGCTCAGGGTCACTGGGTGAGAGGAAATGGCTGACGACGCCCACTCACCCTCCTGCCAGCCTGGGGGATGTGCTCTTTGTACTCTCAACTTGGCATTTGTGTGTTCCACATTATTTGCCCTTCCCTAAAATGGGGGTGGTGGTAGATGAACAGGAATTGTTTTATTTCCCATTCTCCTGAAGAGAAATGTAAGGCCTGGAGAGGGGCTGTGGCTCACACGGGGCCCGGTGAGTCACCTGTGGCACTGTAGTGGCCAGGTGGCCATGGCTCTTCCTATCCTCTGCTCTGGAGGAGGAGGGAGGCCGGCCGGGCTGGGTTAGCCATTAGGAAGCTATGGGGTGTGTGTGTGGGGGGTTCTCTCCAGAATGCCAGGAGGGCTGCTCAGGAAGCTGGTGGAGGGGCCATGGCTGGGGAAGTCTTTGCCCCACCACTGAGATGGCACCAGGCAGACAGAGCAATTAAAGGCCAATGAAGACAGACCGGCAGGGTGGCATTCCAGGGCCCTCTTGCCCAGATCAGACTCAATTATAAGGTACAATTACCTGCGAAGTGTTGTGGGGTAGCTGCCTGCACATGCCATTCAAGGCTGCGGGGGAGATGCTTCTCTCCTGGGCTCCAGTTACTCCCCTTGGGACCCTACCTAATAGACTCCCCTTACCCCGCCCCCCCCGCCCCCCCCCCCGCGCCATCCAGCTAAAGCCACCATCTTGGTCTATGGGACTTATTTCTGTGGAGATACTATGCCTGACACCAGTATTTCCTTTTGGACACTTATTCCAGTTCACTCCCAAGAAACACCACCCTTTGACCTTAGCCTTCAAGGTTCATGGGTAGAGGTCAAGGTCCCGACTTCCCCATTAATGGAGTATCTGATCCATCCCAGAATTCACCCTGGCCTTGAAGGATGGGGAGGCCTTACCTCGGCCTGCGCTTTCTTCTGGAAGCAGAGAGATGGCCTTTCCTTCCTGCTGATAGACGGAGAACTGGTAGCGATGGAAGCCACTGAGGGGTGGTGGGGTAGGAGGCTGGTAGGCTATGGGCAGAGAAGGGAGAGAGGGTGGGTCCACATGCCACAGGACCCAGGAGCTCCTGGATACTCTGGGCACGAGGAGAAGAGAATCACTTGTGCCTTTCCTGGTCCCAGCTGACCCTCCTGGGGTCCCAGATGGGGGCTTACCCATTGCACGCCATTAGATTTGTCTTTGTCAGAAGCTTCATTTAGGAAGCACATTTTTGGGGATGTGGGGGGAGGAGGAAGAGGTGTGGTCTGTTTGAAGATTTCGGGTGCTGGTGGGCACCTGGGCCTTTCTGGGCCAGTGGGTGTTGTCTTTCTTTTCTTTTCTTTTTCTTTCTTTCTTTCTTTCTTTCTCTCTTTCTTTCTTTCTTTCTTTCTTTCTTTCTTTCTTTTTTTTTTTTTTCTTTAGTCTATCCTGATAGATTTCCTGCCTCGAGAGAAACCCATCTTCCTCTGAGTACATTTGGCAGTGGATTTTTATTTATTTTTTCAGCATTTCCTTATGAACTCAATCCCCAAAGAAGTCAATTTCTTGGCTGGATCCGGAGGATCTGGAAGTGGTTATGGGGGTGGGTGGGACTCGGTTCAAAGGTTTGATCATGGAAGCTGTGGGACCTGGGTGCTTGGGGCAATGGGAACCAACTCAGGCTCTTCCGGGGGAGAAGGCCATCTCCCTCCCTTTCGCCCCCTGCGCAGGAGGCAGATCTTTTCTGGGAGAAAAGCAGAGGGAGGGGACGTCTTCCATCCTTCCCCCAAGACTATTCAGGCTGGACTGGGCTCTCCAGCAGGGCCTCCTTCCAAGCATGCTGTGCCTCTTCCTCCTCCCCTCACTCCCTTCATCTCCCTCTCCCAGGAGCAGAGAATTTTCCTGGGGGTGGGTGGGGAGGGAGTGTTAGCAATGAAGATGCTGGTGGGGGGGAGTATTGGTACTTTATGGCCACCTCCCTCTCCTGATCATTAGACAAGAGCCACTTGCTGCTTGGAGCTGTTGGGGTGTTCCTCACGGTGCACTTCCGGCCATGGGCCTTCAGCTCGCGCACAGCCAGGGGATTTCCTGACTATTCATCGCTCCCTGAGTTTTTGGATTACATCAGATGTGTGTGTGTGTGTGCGCGTGTGCGTGTGCATGTGTGTTCAGAGTGAGAACAGCACAGGGTGTTCCAGAAGCCATGAGGGTTTGTATATGTGGGGTCTACACTGGGGCAGGGGCAGGTGTTGGAGGAGCCAGGGTGCATGTGTGCTGAGGCTGTTTTGGAGTGTGTCTGCCGGTGTGTGCAAATGTGAGCAAGTCAGTTTTTTCCCCACAAACATGGCCAGTGCTGAGAGACTTCTGAGCATAGGTGAGGGCCGCAATGCCTCTTTGAGTGCGTGGTGTGTGGAGGCCGGAGGTGACTGGGCCAGCTTTCGGCAAGGAAGGTGGGTGTGAGGGTGGCCGAGTGAACTTGGGGGTGGGTATATCCCATGCTGCCAGAGACTGGTGGCCATGATTCCCTGTGGGTAAGGCTGGAGCTGTAACTCGCTGATTCTATGCAGCTGGGAATTAGCCTCAGGGGAGATGGAGCCGGAATCCCTTCACTAGGGAGCTTTCCTGAAGAACTCCCTCGAAAGGAGAGGCAAAAGCAGAGATGAGAGCCGCGAGGAGGAAGGGAGGGCACACAGGTTCGGCCACTTCTCGGGGCCAGCCCCTGGCCAAGTGCCTCCCCTGTGACATCTCTTTAACCCTCCCAACAACTTGGTAGGGTGGGTGTTTTTGGTAACTGAGGCTCCGAGCAGTGAAGCCAGGCCGACAGTAAGTGGTGGAGCTGGGGTTGGAATCTAGGCCTTCCTGGTGCCTGAGCCGAGTTGGTTTCCAAAACCATGCAGCTCCTCTGGTCGTTTTGCTCAGCCCTTTGCCAGAGGCCAGCTTACCCTCCGGGCATTCCCTGTAAGTCAGTGGAGGGCCTGCTCTTGCAGCCAGGATCTGAGAGGGAGGGGAGCTGGTGGTGAGGAGGGGGTGAGAAGAGGAGGGCATCAGAGAAGAGGAAAGTCCATGCAGCCACGTGCAACCCCTCGGTGGGGACTGGGAACAGGAAAGAAGAGAGGTGGGCGGAAGGAAGAGAATGCCCCGCCCGCCCCTCCCCAGGAGAGACGTCTGGGTGCTCTCCTGCAGACCCCAGACTGGCTCCTCACACCAGCTGTGGGACACAGGGCCGGTGGGTCTGTGCCTCGGTGTCATTCTCTTTAAAATGGAGATATTGATGGCGGCGACTTGAAAAGGAAATTGTGAAGATTAAATCAGAGCATACGCACAAGCTCTTGGACCAGTGCTTTCTTTGTACTCTGTGAAGCATCGACACGAAGTTGTATTGTTATCTGGCAATCATCATCGTTGCCCTGGCTGGGGGAGGGGCGTTGTAGGGTCTTACTCACCTGATAACTCCTGGCCCTTTATCTCCCCTTTCTTCAAGTCAGCGCCCTGAAACAAGAGACAGGCATGGGCATGGGTTACTCCTGGGGCAGCAGAAGGCCACGCTATCCCCCTCAGTCCAAGTGGGCTCTGCTGAGCTCTTTCTCTCGGGGAGTGGGATGGAGGAGGATGAAGATCCATGGCTGTTTCTGGGAGACGTTGCCAGAATGAGCCGTGGGATTTAGAATGGTGCCTCCGGGGAACTGGGAAGAGGGGGCAGACAGACATACTGAGGATGGCCTGGTGGTGAGGGGTGGACCCCTGATCTCTGGAGAGACCCCTGATCTCTGGAGAGACCCCTGATCTCGGGAGAGACTTTCTGATGGGCTGCCCCACTCTTGCCATCTGCACCCCCAGACTAGGCACAGGACACACTCTCAGCTTGTGCGGTCTGGCCAGATCTGAGGCGGGGGCTGACAGTCCTCAGAGGCTTGCTAAGCCAGGCCATCCTTCGGGCTGGCTTTGGGCCTCAGAACATGAGGCCAGTGACTGCCTGAACAACCTGGAAAGGGAGGAGGAGGCCTGACTCTGAGGAAGCCTCTTCCCTAGCCTCCGCCGAACTCAGCCCGTACTCTCCAGGAAGATTCTTTGGCTGCTGGGACAGCCTCAGTTTCCCTCCTTTCTTTCCCTCCCTTCTCCCCTCCGCTCAAGGTCTGTGGGATAATGAGGTGATCCCGGGGGCGGGTGCTAATTAATGTTTGTGCAGGACTGGGAGATGCTCAGATGAAAGGGACTGGAGCCGGGCTCCTGGGTCCGTGCCACAGCTCGGGGCCCGGGGCCATGCCAGGGAGCCCTGCGGCCCCGAGGTGTGGGGTTTTATAGCCTTAATGATGGTGATTAGCGAGGCTCTTCATGGATTCTGCCAACACCTAACTGTGCCCTGGACACCTCTCCACCAGGCCCTTCCTGGTACAGCTCCTGCTCCTCCCCGGGTGATGGTAGTGGTGGGGGATGGGGGTGCTCAGGGTGGTGGTGGGGGGATGGGGAAGAGCAGTAGAGGGTGCCAAGGGGGAGTGTGAGATTTCACCTCAGTTCTCTGTGGAAAACCTCAGGGTCAGCTCAGTGACCCAACCCCTAGTGCGATTTACTTTCTACAAAACTAAAGCCCCACCCCCTATTCTAGAGACCCCCATCTCCTCTCCTTTAGGAGCTTGCCCACCGACTGTTCTCACTTTGGACCTCCTTTGGGCTGGGTTTCCTTTGGGTGGGGAAAGGGCAGGAGACCATAGTGGGATGGACCCTTCCACCTTTGGCCCTTTCCCACTTTGCTATCGTCACCCCATGCAGGTGAGATCTCTCTCCTTGGGCATCCTTCCACCTCCCGCACCCAAGTCCTGTCTGCCAGGTGCATCCAGGCAGCCTTCACATTCCGTCCCTCAGCACAGCTCACCATACTCTGCCTCTGCCTTGGCCCTCTCAGCTCAGCTCCCCAACTCCCCCAATATTGGGTCTTGCTTTATCCATGAGGCCCGGGTGTGGCCAGGGCACCAGGATGGAGGGACAGGGTTGGGGAATGGAGGCTCCTCGATACCCATCTCTCCTAGGAAAGGAGCTCAGGCCTGAGGCCTAGCGGCCACTCTCCCAAAATAGCTCTCTGGCCGCCCTAGCAAGATCGAGAGAAAGGGGCTGAGCCCAGGGAAGCCCGGCCGGCCAGCCCCAGCCCAGCTCTGAGCTCCCAGCCTCCCCCTCATTCCTTTCCAAGTCAGTCCAGCCAGCAGTTTGTTTAAATAAAACAATAGCAACCTAAGCTGGCTGTTCTCAATTCCCCACAGGCTTGGGTCCCACCCAGAGTAATAAACAGGCCTCTCTCCTCTGTGTGGTGCGGGAGGGCCGGGGTGGGGGCTGGGCCCGTAAGGTCAGGGAGTTAGTGTGCAGAGCAGTGTGGAAAGTCTGATCTGCAGCCTTGGTCAGGGTGGGAAGGCTCTCCTCCCCTCCCTTTCCCTCTGGGGAGTCTTTTCTCATCAGCTGAGGCCAGCTCGTCAGACACACACAAACCCTGGGACTTGTTGTGTAAAGCCAGCGGCCCTTCCTGCCGCCTTCACTGGGCCTGCTGACCTAAGCTCAGCCCAGGCAGCTGCAGGGGGTGGGGGTGGGGGGGCTGAGCAGAGCATGTCAATGGCCTTCAGAGGCTTTTCTGGTCTCTCTGGAGCTTGTCACATGGAAGGGGGAGCGGGAAGGAAGGCTCTGAGGAAGGACGGAGTGTGTGGTCGGTGTGGCTGGTATTTGCACTAGTTGGTTTGAGCATCAGCTAAGCACCTTGCCCTCATTGGTCTGTTCTGGGGCCTAAAATATCTACCATAGAATCAACACCTGGGAGGAGCCTTAGGAAACCAAATTCAAAGGGTGAGAAAGTTGAGCCCCAGAGAAGGTCCAACGACTCATCCAGAGCTGCAGGAGCAAATGGGAGAATCCCAGAATGTTCTAGGAAGAAGGGGCCTTTGACCCTCTGACCTTTGAGACCCACTGGCTCAGGGTCTCATGCCTTTTGACCTGCAGTGCTGGCTTGTGCTTTTGTTGTTGTTTTTTAGTTTGCATCCTTTTGTGTGTGCGCGCGTGCGTGCGTGTGTATGCTTTTTCTATGCCATCATGACAATCCCAGCACTTCCCTAGGAGGCTTAAAAAAACCCCATTATTAAAATACACAGATATCACCAGGAAGGCTGGGGCTGTGGTGGAAATGGTTGCCCCCGTGCCTCTATGAAACATGAGCTCTCCTAAAGCATCTTCGTGGATGGCAAGATCACTTTAGCCTGAGATCACCTCTGAAAGCTGGACATCTCCGGGGATGGAAGGAATGCAGGGGTGTTTCCAGAGGGCAGAGGGAGAAACCGATTCTTCTGAGTACTTCTCAAGGAGACTGGACTGAGGGAAGAGCCCTGAGAGCTGAAGATGGGCCCAGCATTTGAGGGACAGACCCCAAACCTGTTAAGTCTGAGCAGAGAGGAGCTTTGGAATGAGAGCCTGCAGGACGGGAGGGGCTGCTGAGAGCTCATCCTGCTGCCTGACCTGGACCCCCAGCCCCAGCCCCAGGTATGCTGCTCTTTAAGGTGGGCCTGGGACAGACAAATCCTCCTAAAACAATTTGACATTTTCAAAAGCAACCTGTCTAAATGGTAAGGTTTAAAAAAGGAAGTGATTACAGAAATTGTAGAAATAGCTTTCTTTAAAAATATATTTTTCTTTATTTCAGAGAGGAAGGGAGAAGAAGAGGGAGAGAGAGAAACATCAATGATGAGAGAGAGTCATTGATCGGCTGCCTCCCTGCACACCTCCTACTGGGGATCGAACCCACAACCCGGGCATGTGCCCTGACCGGGAACCGGGATTCGAACAGTGACCTCTCGGTTCATAGGTTGACACTCAACCACTGAGCCACACTGGCCTGGGGAAACAGTTAGCTCTCTGACCCTCAAGAGCACTGAGATGCCCAGGATGGTTTTGCAGGCTATCAGGACAGGCGCACTCCAGGTGTTTGGGCTCAGGAGTTGTCCTGGGCCCTCCTAAGTGTCAGGGATGGAGGAGTTGGAGAAGGCAACTCCTTTCCTTATCATGAGATTTCCTCTCCAGCTCTCTGAGGCCTCAGAACCCACTGCTTCTCTGTCGACATGGTTGGGAACTGGCATGTGAGATGCTTAAGGAAAGTTGGGGCTCAACTGATAGTCATAGCAACTCCATTCTTGGACCAAGGTGACGCAGGTGGTCCTGTTCTGACTGACTTGTCTCAGGCCAAGTACAGAGCACAGGGCTGGAAGCTGGGCACCTGCCCCATCACTATTACCTTACATTGGTAATGAGCTTTTAGTGTTTATCCCGCAGGGCACTGTCCAACCGCTGGCTCTCACAGCCGTCCCTGCATGGGAAGGGCAGAGATCCGTCTCCCCATTTGACTGAAAGAACCAGAGAAGCTTCTCAAGGGCAGGGGCTGCATCCTGCCCATCTTTGTAGCCTGTAGGATGCTGTGCACGTAGTTGGATAGTAGGCAATTATTGATGCCATGGCCCGTCCCCTGACCCTTGCCCTGGCAGTGCTTACCAGCTGCACTTGCAGCCTGCTTATCCTGGCCGCCAGAGCCCTCTCCACCACCTGTGCAATGGGGCAGCCTGCTGTGGTCTTAACAGCCTCTGGCAACAACCAATGGTTGGTGGGAACGGCAGGAGGGAGAGGCTTCTAAGAATAAATACTTCAGCCCCTTGCCTTTGGTGGGGAATGACAGAGCAGTGTATTTCACATTGGCTCCAGGTACCCACAGTGGAACTTGTTTGCTCATGAACCTTGATTGGGTGCCTTCCTTTTCCTGTCTTACCCACTCCGTTACTGCTCTTTCCTTGTGTCCCCTTGAAAATAAACTACTTGCACTAGAATCCTGGTGTCAGGATCTGCTTCTGGGGGAGCCCAAGGTAAGACAGAAAGGGTCCCCATAGAAAGTTAGGGGGTGAATAGAGTGAATGAAGCCTTTGTCCAAGGTGCCATGGGTAGCTAGCCTCAATGCCAGGACGAGAAGTCTGAACTCCTGACCCTCTGCCCCAATCTCTTTAGCAAGACCCAACTGCTGCCGCCCACACCTGGATCCTTCTGTCCTCCAGGCCCAGGCCCCAGAGTTCCCTGAGAGGATTGGTCCCTGATATATTAAGCCCTTGGAGAACTACAAACAGATAAGCCAACTAGATAGAAGTCACTTCCATTTTTTGTTTCTTGTCCCTATGGGGCTAGCCAGACAGCTACATTTTCTGAGAATTGAGTGTCCAGAGACACCCCTCACTCCCTAGGCCTGGGGCTGCTTTAGGTAAGGGCTCTTTGCGACATGGTGGCCGGATTTGTGAGGTCTGGTGGATGGGGAAGGGGCCTGGCTCAGCGCAGGGCCCAGCAGGAAGGTCGGCCCTGTTTCCTCATTTCGCTTCAATTACCTACAGGCAGCTGGCCGCCCACCTGGGTGCTGGCGAAGGCCCCAGGTACTTGGGCTTGCTGACCCCCGAAGCGGAGGGTCAGCTGCACATTTCCTTGAGTTTGAG